CAGTCTGGAGCGGGCGGGGGAGTAGCGCGAGAGTAGCGTGGAAACAGAGCTTAAAAGATGAGAGGGAGGGCAGATGGGCAGCCTTTCTGTGGGTGTTTCCAGGCCCCTTCTGACCGCCGAGCCGGGAGTGGCGGGTCGGATCCCTCTCCCCTCCCACTTTGTTCCTGCTTCCTCTAAGGTTCGGTGGCGTCTCTTTGAATTAAGTACAGTAGGTTAAAAGGAAGCGCTCGTGCGCTCCTTGTGCAGGTAGCGCAGGCACCAAAAGTTTCCCAGGACTGCTGGGTGCCTGCGCGGGGTGCGGGGGCGGGGAGGGGCAGCCAGAATGGGGGAGGGGCGGTGGTATAATAGCTGGCGTGGGGGTTGCGGGCAGGCCTGGAGACCGTGCTAGGAGCGCTAACCTTTTGTCTCTTCTCCGCCCTCCCCTGCCGCCGCCCATGCAGGACCGCACCCCCAGCGCCTCCCCGGACCTGGGCAAGCACTCACCTCTGGCTCTGCTAGCCGCCACCTGTAGCCGTATCGGCCAGTCGGGCACCGCGGCGCCCCCGGACTTTCTGCAGGTGCCCTACGACACCGCGCTGGGCTCGCCCTCTAGGCTCTTTCACCCCTGGACCGCCGACATGCCCGCACACTCGCCCGGTGCGCTGCCGCCCCCTCATCCCAGCCTGGGGCTGACGCCGCAGAAAACGCACCTGCAGCCGTCCTTCGGGGCGGCACACGAGCTGCCGCTCACCCCTCCTGCCGACCCCTCATACCCCTACGAGTTCTCACCGGTCAAGATGCTGCCCTCGAGCATGGCGGCGCTGCCCGCCAGCTGCGCGCCTGCATATGTTCCCTACGCGGCCCAGGCCGCGCTACCGCCCGGCTACTCCAACTTATTGCCCCCGCCGCCACCTCCGCCGCCGCCCACATGTCGCCAGCTGTCCCCCAACCCGGCCCCCGACGACCTCCCATGGTGGAGTATCCCGCAGGCGGGCACAGGTCCGGGGACCTCCGGCGTTCCAGGGGGCAGCTTGTCCGGCGCCTGTGCTGGGGGTCCCCACGCGCCCCGCTTCCCTGCCTCAGCGGCCGCTGCTGCTGCTGCCGCCGCAGCCCTGCAGCGGGGCCTGGTGTTGGGCCCGTCGGACTTTGCGCAGTACCAGAGCCAGATAGCCGCGCTGCTGCAAACCAAGGCCCCCCTGGCGGCCACGGCCAGGAGGTGCCGCCGCTGCCGCTGCCCCAACTGCCAGGCGGCGGGCGGCGCCCCCGAGGCAGAGCCGGGCAAGAAGAAGCAGCACGTGTGCCATGTGCCCGGCTGTGGCAAAGTGTACGGCAAGACGTCGCACCTGAAGGCGCACCTGCGCTGGCACACGGGCGAGCGGCCCTTCGTGTGCAACTGGCTCTTTTGCGGTAAGAGCTTCACGCGCTCGGACGAGCTGCAGCGGCACCTGCGGACTCACACAGGCGAGAAGCGCTTCTCCTGCCCTGAGTGCGGCAAGCGCTTCATGCGCAGCGACCACCTCGCCAAGCACGTGAAGACACACCAGAATAAGAAACTCAAAGTTGCCGAGGCCGGAGTCAAGCGGGAGGACACGCGGGACCTGTGAGCCCACCCCAGGGCGACTCGAGGCCTTTCCCGCCTTGGACTCCCTTCCCAGCATCACTTCGGGGTGGTTCTGGGGCTTGTGGGCAGCTGGCCTCGGGGGGAGACCAAACAGAGGCACTTGCCCCTTCCTGCGCCCGCCCCTAAAATGACGCCAGGCTCTGAGCTTCCCTGGCCCGACCCGCAGACTGGGACCCTGTGCCCAGGACAAACATGGGAGGTAGGGTTGGGAGCTCTGCGCCACGCAAGGGCGATTGCAAGCTCTGAATCATTCCCACCGTCTGGGAATTTGAGGAGACAACCCTGGGCTGACCTTGTATATAGGAAACGCTGCTGAATTAAAGCAGAAGGACCTTGGGAGCGTTGAAATAATGCTGGGTTTCTTGCGAGGACAGGGCTGGGCTTTGTACAGGTTATTTAATAGCTTTGTTAAAGAATAATTATAATAATTATAACATTAATAAAAGTGTTACTTTTGTCCTCAGCTCCATGCAGAGCTATAGCATGAAATGTCTCTGTAAAGCAATCAGCAGTTGCAGCGTGAAAATAAATACGTTAACTCTGGGGTCACCTCGGGAAGACCCCGCTGAGCCAGTCTCATTTGATCTTTTCTTCTTCCGGGAGACTTTACAAAGCAGTCAGGTTTCACCGAGAATTTGGAGGTTCCTGGAGGCTGTGTCGGAGGCTTCTTTGCTTTGGAAGGTTCTGGGCAAGTATGTTGGGTACATGGATGGAGGAAGTAGGGCAGGGTCAGTTTTGTGGTAAAGAGGATAAGGCAAGGTTTTCCAGTCACACTCTGAGTTTTTATGCGGCCTTAGAATTTGACCAGAGAGACTGTTAAGTTTCTCTTAAAAGCTTGATACTTGTTGCACATACAACACATGTTCTTTTTATCTGGCGAATTCCCTGTGGCTTTCCATTTGTTGGTACTCTCGGAACAGAGCTCCTCACACTGGAGCTGTGCTCCTAGCAGTCAACTATGCTGGTGTCTGGAAAGGTCTTATCAACTCAAAGATCTGTTCACAAATGTTATTTTGGAAAGTTACAGAGAAACGGGGTCTCTGGTTCAGGCTGGTCTCTGCCGAGGGGGAAAAAAGCATCACTCCTATATTTTAGCCCTGTCATGATATACAACGGTTGTCTTGCTTGTTTTCCTCCTAATCATTTTGCTGTGGAAATCCTAGTCTTTCACAATAGCCACGTAGGGATTTCTGGCAAGGCCTGGAAATTTAGTTCCGTTTTTGTTTATGTTGAGATTTTATTTTATTTTATTAACCATTGAAGTAGACTGAGATTTTCTCATGGAGGACCCAGGAATACTATTACTTAGGGTTCTTGCCTGGCTCTAAAGTATGAAGTTTTAAGGTTATCTGTTTTTTCAAGTGTCTTAACTAGCTCCTTGATGTTTTCTGATATTTGAGTTTTTAAACCTGAAACTGAAACCTTAATCTTCTGATTTAGATTTAGCAAAGAACAGAAAATATTCTAAATTTTATTACTATGTTAAGCTAGTGTCATTAATGCCAAATTTCAGTGGAACTCACTCTTTTCATGGTAATACAAGTGTACATAAATTGATGGGATTTCACAGTTTACAAACTGCTGTTGCCTTGCCATTTGTTTAAAGTCAAAGTGAAGGGTAAATTCTTAAAAGTGATGAGGGTTGTCAAACATCAACATAATTGAGATTAAAATTGCCTTTAAGTAGCAGTTTTACTCCATTAACTTGGAACGAGGTAGTAAATGAATTAGAATCATGTGGAAATAGATGCTAGAACCAGTTACTCTCATTAGAGATTTTGAAACCATTTAATGACAAATTAGAATGTGAGTCTTCAGCATTTTTTACCTGAGAAGGGAAGTTTGGGTTAGCTAGATTTTCGAGGGCATGGCAGTTTTGCAAGCAATAGGAATAAGAGAGCTGCTAGACAGTAACATTAATATACATCCAATTGTGTAATCTTAATCTAAATCAAGATTATTGAAAATTATTTCTCTGAGGAGTTACAGAAACTCACATCTGAACCATGCCCTGGAATTGACTTCAGAGCCAGAAGAGGTGTTTTGGCAGATGATAGAGAAAGAGGCATCCTGTTGGAGAGTAAAAAGACCAGGGCTTTCAACTCAGAAAAGTCAAAGAGATTCTTTCGTGGGAAAGAGAATGCCCTTAGTAGAGAAAGAAAAATGGCAATTTTGAAATGAATCTAGTAGATATTATTGACAGCTATTAACATTTAGTACCTAAACAACTGAAGTATTGATGATAAAGTTTTCTTATAACTTTAACTTTGCAGTTCAGAGAAAAAAACACATAAAATGTATGAAATTTAGTATCTAAATTGATGAGGTATTGAAGATAATTTCCTTATAACTATAACTTTATGATTGTTAAGAGAAAAACTAGATAAAATATATGGCATTTATCTAAAAATACAGTATATATAATTTTTAAAAACAGAACAGTCATTTGATGACAAAATAACTCGTTTTCACTTAATTGAACCTGCAAATTTAAAAAGTGTGGTAAAAATACAGTCTCTAGACTAACTGTATAGCTAAAAGACTGTTCCAACTGGACCACTGCAAATCTGTGTTCCAATTTAGAAAAAACTGCATATGCCATTATCCAAGTGAAACAGGAAGCCACAATAATATATTATTGACCAAGTGCAGGAAAGTATTTTGTTTTTATACTGAAAAATAAGCTAATAAGCACTCAGAAATACAAGTTTGATGATGCAGAAATGTATTAGATGTTATGAGCTGTTAAAATTTGGAATGCTGCTTCATGCAGTATTTGCTTCATAAAATTGCAATAAGTACCATTTAGGACTTTAAAATTTATTTTTAAATAAGTCAATATACAAGAAATAATATGCATAAGTGATGGATTAAAGCACATTTAGCAGAAAAAGTAATGAAATTCAAATTAATAGAAGTTTAGGAACACATTACTATTACATGTAAACTAAAATTTATTTTTTATTTGGAGTTTTGCCAACATCAAAAAAAGACAGTTTAATTCACCAACTGTAGTCAAGGCTTTATTTAAAGACACTAGCACCCAATTCAACTAAGTTTTAAAAACTAATTGAAGAAGCTGTGTTAACAATGGCCTCAAATAGACATTTTACATTTTTTTAAGCAGCTGTTTTAGTAGCATTCAAATATAGCTGTCACATTTTAGAAGATTCTAAAGTTAGTGTGACATGATTATTTTAAATTTAAGAATTGATAAATGAAAAATTGACCAAGAACTTAGAAACATGGAGAAACTGAGTTATCAGTAATTTAGGTAATTTGGAATTTATTTCTGAACTTGTTATCAGCACTCCATAGGTTTCTGCTTTTCTGAAGGGAAATTTGTGTAAATTTACCTTTAGCTGACCACTAATTTCTAATAATTCTGATAATGAAAGTAAATTGTGTTAAAGAAAATACTACTGTATTATTCAGCATTGTGTTAGTCTTTTCTGGTTTCGGTTAAAGTTTAAATCTTATAACCATATTGTGTATATTGTTATAAATTTTTTGTCGTAAGTCAATCAAACAAGACATACCACTTTTTAAAATCTTGATGAGCGTGCTTGCAGAAAGGTATTTGAAACAATATTTGTAGAAAAAGCAGTTTTTCACTCCAATTTGTACCATGTTTCTTTCTATCCTAATACTGTGGGTTTTTAAGTAATCAGTTTAAGGCAGCATCTTCAGTTTTTCTCATTATTTTGGTTCTGCCGTGAGAGTTTCAGAATGTTATTATAGCGGTAGCTTTGATTTCAAACTTATGTAAACACCTAGTAAGTTGTTTAGGGCTCTAAACTTGCAAACTACTTTTACTGGCATTAGATCATCGCATTAAATATTAACAAGTTGGGGTGAATTAACAATATCTCATTGGAAAATGGTCTGTTGTGGAATCAGACTCAACACTCAAGCTGTGTTTTATAATAAATGTAATTATGGTTTTCTAATGTCCCAAACTGAAGGCCACTCTAAAGTCATATTAATGTTCTATTACATATCATTACCTTCCTCTGTTTGCATGATGAAGGGGAATTTCAAAAGTCTGTGAGACTGAGGGCAGCTTTGAAATGAGTATAAGTGCCAACATAGTTTGATAAACTAGGAAGAAAATCTAGGTGGAAAGGTAGATGTTGGTAATGATATATATATATTTAGATTAATATAACAAAAGAACTTATTTTGTTACTGGGCTACTATAATGGTAACCTGATTAACGTGGCATTCAATATATGTAAACAGTACATTCTTCTCTGGTGCTGTTCAGACTCAACACATTTTTACATAAAGATCATTGTGTCAATTGTTCCTCCAATGACTTTTTTAAAAATCTCCAGTGTTTCAAATTAATTTATGGACATTGTAAAATAACTTACATAACGTTCCTTACTATAGCAAATAAGTGATATAGTTCAACAAAAATGTAATCAAACAGCAATGGATCATCACGACTGTTTTGAGTTTCACACTATTTTTTTATGCTATTATAACTTACTACCAATTGAAGATTTGCACATAATGATTGATATACTATACATTTTCATGCTGATGTTTTGGTGACTTCCCTTTCTAGTCTTTGTTGCTTTCCTTCCATGTCTTTAGTAATTATGATGAAGCATAATCCCCAATGGGGTGTTTGACACTCACTTTATAATTCAGTCCATGCATGTGAACTGCAGTAGTTTCTGCACAACACATAATAAACTATATGTTTAGTTACTAAAATATATATAGTAACATATATTTTGGTTTCTATCTATTATCAAAATTCTATTCAGGAGAAATAATCCAGTTTCTAATTTGACATGGAAAATTTGCAGCTTTCACTTTTCAAAAAGTTGTTTCAGCATTATGGAGATTCGATTCGCCTATTATAAAATGAAAGTGTGTTTTATGGCAAAAATATTCATCTAATTTTTTTTATTACCTGTCAGACTTCTGACATCAATAATATACTAAAATTTTGTAAAATATAAGGTAGTG